ATGTGAATGCTAGGTGTAATTGCAATTTGGAGAAATATCAACTCTAACATCATCCCCTGGGGGTCTGCACGAATTCTAGCGAGTTTCATTTTGTTGTTATGTTTGAATAACATTAGATCGAACCGCGTCCTTATTATATATGCCTTAGTGAAGGTTAAAAAAATATGTTGATAACATCAGTCAATCAAATCCAGTAATTGTTGATGTGATGCAGTAGCTCAAAATGCATCTGAGGACATCTTCACTAACTAGCGTCGACATGGATCCCAGTCGATTTTTTTAAAAATTTATACATTTTAGCATTCGATCGAACCATGGTCCTTTCACTATGCATTAGCGACGGGTAATAGATTACGTGAGTTACATCGACAAATCATTTCTACTTGTTGTTGCTGAGATATAGTGGGCAGTAGTGCTCATGAGTGCTACTTCTGCTATATATATATATTGAAACGTCATAGAGAGGCGAAAATACAAGATTGAAAAAAAGATTGACTACAAATAAATCAAATCATTTACTTTGGTGTTTGTTCTTCTTGTGATACAGTTTGCTATATATTTTCCAAAAGTTTGTGAGACTGATCATAATTTTGTACATTATTGCTGTTTTTTCGGCCTGAAGTCCGCACAGATCTTAGATGGAAACCAACTACTATTTCATAGGTGTGATATGAGAGTTGATGAACAAATAATTATTCAAATATCTTTGTAAAGTAATAATGAATAATCAAATGAATATTTCTTGTCTAATGCATGACATGTGTTTATTTTACTTTGATAAATTCTCTCATATTATGCAATATTTTATGATAAATGTCTACAATAAAATATGACAAGAAATCGATTAATTATTTGATACATTTAATCAAGATTTAGAAATTTATAAACAATAACAATCAATAAGAATAACAAAATAAAATAAATTATTGATTATTGGAAGATGTTGAACCATTTTCAATACTTATTCAAATGCCACTAGATTATTTGCCAATATGATTGATTATTAATTGTTTGATTTATGTGAAAAATATTTCAAGTTCACTTTATGATCTTTAAATACCTCATTCAACTGACATATTTGATAAACCTACTGTTTATTCAATATTTCGTCATTAGTTGTCATGATTAGTACTTTTACAATTATAGTACGGACTTCAATACGTAATGAAATTGCTATATATGATAAAAATGAACTTATTATATAAGATGTTGATAGTACTTTAGTGATTTATTTTATTTTTTTCGATGATTGCATGAGTTTAGGATGGAAGTATTTTATGGTCAAACATATAAGACAATTTCGTATCAGATATCTCTTGATGTTTCACACTCGAATGTGTTTTTTCTTTGAGTCTTATTTTATTGGTTTCGCAAATGTTGAACGAGATAAGCGTGTTTTATTTGTTGTCATGATCCAGAAGACATTATTCAACAATATAGGCCATTACTAGATCGGAATTTAGACAACACTTGTTCTAAAGAAAATTTAATTTAAAAAAGAATGGTAGTAAAATTTTGTGTATGATATGTCCTTTTTTTTAGTTTTTTCTAACTACTCAATGTATTCTTGTTAATTCATCTACTTCACATTTAGATCTTGCTATTAAAAATCATAAAAATGATCAATTTTTCTATAAATCTTTATGAAATGAATTTAACACAGCTATTGGCTACGACTCCAAATCTTCCATTATTTTCATCTTAACAATGTGGTCGAAATATTGATCTTATTCTTTGTTAAACATCATTTACAAATCATCGTTGGTGATTAGTTATTTGTGGAAATGGACTTTGTGAACATAATCTATTATTTGTTGATGGTAAAATAGGAAAGTCAGAATTGATTACTCGGAATTGCAAAACTGAATACTTGCATGTTAGATGAACAATATTTAATAGTTCAAATGAAAGATTTGACATTGAATTATGATATTAAATAACGTAGCGTTAGTAATTTGTATTAATACTTTTGATTGTATGAAAAAACAACATATTTGAACGAATAAATAAATAAAAAATTATCGAACGATGATCAATAGTTACGATACGAGGCAAGAAAAAAAGTCTAAGATAATTATTCGAGAATGGTAGAGTCAAGGTTAAACCAGATGATTAATAAGTATTCTTCAAGACATTCTTGTCTTTAAAATTTTAATGTTTGATCAAGAAAATGCTAGTATCGTTCTTTAAATGTGGCAAAAAAAGACAATCATATCCGAGAAATGAAACATGCATCATTAATTGATGATAACATTTATTAGTAAGACAGCAAAGATAAACCAGTATGCAATGTCTCTTTTATTAAAATAATAAAATGTGATACATATCTCATTTTAAAGGTAAGTTACCGTTTGAAGGCTAGACAATTTAATCTACTTCTATTTAAAATTCAAAAAGATTTTCAATTTGAAAAGAGAATTTTAATGAAATTTACATAACATTTTGTCTCTTGATATTACCAAGACAGATTAAGATGTGGTCTGCTCAGAAGCACGAGCAATTAAATCTGCAACATTTGTCATCTTATATGATACCGAATCAAAGGTAGATCTTTTATTATTTACTATGCTTTGGTGAATATGGTTTTATTTCAAATAAAAACAACGAAATTTTATTTTCTTTTTAACCAAAATCCTATCTAAGTGACTTTCAAAGGTCATTGAATACTAATACAATCATGGTGTCTTATATTTTCTGGATCTCAGCCATCAAAAAATGATCATCGGAGGTCAAATGATAATGAAAATGTAATCAGTGCTCTAATATTATTCATAATTCTTATGCAGTCTTTTTTTCCAAAAATGTTGTCACATTGATTGAACATCAAAAGAAAAAATTTATGTTTAACATAATAAAAACCTTTTTCATTTGACAACAGAGAACAAATTTTTACTCACGAAAACATATGAACTATGGAATTTGCCGGTGGATCTAAATAGACAAGACAGCATTCATTAAAAAAAATTTAACTTGCCGACTATGAGCAGTACGTGAGGTTCGTTTCCATTTTCTTTCTTCATTGGAATTTTCGCGGTTGATACATATTTTGTTTCATTAAATAGCATATGTCCCAACTCAGCTGACAGAAAAAGACAATGCTTTTTTACATTCTCGTAACTGATCCTTCTTTTCTCGTTGATGATTACTATCATTGTCATCGGGAATAGTCCATGAGACTGTTTCAGGTAAACAATCTGTTATTTGAGTTTTGATTGATTGTGATACTTGGCAAGGTGTAGTAAAATTCATCATAATTAGGTAATCCTGGTTAAGATTATGGTTTGATCGTCATAAGCAAGCTACCACGACGTTTAGTTGTTTTGGCATGTTCAGAAATATCTGAATATCACTGATATGATAGATTTCGGCAACGTTTTTTCGACGTTTCACATCGTTATTATGGCGCTTAAGACCGTTTACGAATGGATTCAGATAAAAATTGTGTAAAGATGAAATACTAAAATAAAGAAAAGTTTTTATTATTTCTTGATAATGTTGATGATTGGACACTTGTGTTATGATATGATGAACTTGTTATAACAACAAGATATATGAGCTGTTAGAATCACTGTACTTTAATATAGTGACGATGAAGATGGCCAATAGTGACGTGGGAATAAGAAAAGGAAAAAAGATAGTCCATACATAAGTGCTTGACATAAACTATTTCTTTCTAAAAGATGAACGATCAATGATTTTGGAGGACAGAAAATATGTCTTGATCCGATGAGATGTCACATATAACTGGCATGTTTTCAAAATAGAGAAAGATAAAAGAAAATGTGGAAAAAGAAATAATATAAATTGTCCTATATAGTTCATCGGATATTGGCATGTTTAGTTCTCCTGATCATATAATTTCAGACCGTAATAACCAGTTATATTTCAAAAAAAAAATGTGTATATATAACAACAAATACACATCATAAAATAATAAATTTGAAAAGTTTATCGTGTGTGAGTGTCGATGTGAGTATAGATTTAGTACTCATTGACACCCATACTCATATTCTGAAAAACTGTAGTATAAAGATAGTTTCAATCGTTTTCTTGCTTAAAACGATTTTTTATTCGCTACTTCTGATTCATCTGTAGTTGCATAAACTTGAAAACTAGCTGAGTATTTTGTATTAATTAAGATTACATTACCGCAATCATTATAATATTTTTGAGAATTGTTAGTTAACGTCTAGTTTTCTCTGGAGAAAAGCATCGAAGTTATACTTTTGTACTATATTCTTCGTCGATTGCTCGTTTATTTTTCCTGTGTCTTCAAAATTTTTCTAAAATTAAGATCTGATTCTGATTAGATTCTGGAGGTGCAACGGTAATGATATCCGATCCTAATTGATAACTATTTCACTTGTGGTAGTTTAAAAGGTAAATGATATAAATCTGTATAAGGTTTATACTGGTTCATACAGGCTTAACCCAGTTTATATAGTTTTATACCGAGTACCTTTGAAATGACCACTGGTAGAGCCGTTATCGTCATCGTTGCATGGCTAGATGAGAAGATAGGTAACACATAAAATGGAAACCTCAATTTTGATGGTAAAATTAGATTTTGACCCTCGCTTTAAGAATTCAATAGATGCTCTTTGTTTTGCTTCCGATCAGGATTTGTCACTTTACAAGCATTTTCGCACGTATCGAAACTCTTTTCAACGATATGTTTTGGAACAGACAAATAGATACAACGATGGCATACGTCAAAGTATAAAAGATCCTACCTGGCGTGCTTGTCGTATTGCTGGCAATTCTTGTTCCCAGCGCAGAGCCAAAAATGATTGCTACTATGGATACCATAATCAATGAACATAATGGAATGATGAAACTTTTCTTTCTATACCATGACCGTCTTAAACAGTCATTGTTTTATCAATACAAAAAATCGTACAGTAAATGGAGCTATGTAAATATGTCAAGCGTTAGATATTTTTAGGCCAAAGTTTCTCTTAATGTTTCACAAAATGCGTTTTCGTTTTTAAAATAGTTCACTACTGATCATCGTAAATTGTTTGAGCAAGCATTTTATAATAAGCTCCACGTCGCTGTATCAATTCTGTATGAGTACCACTTTCCACTATACGTCCATTGTCAAGCACACAAATCAAATCACATGAACGAATAGTTGAAAGACGATGTGCAATAATGAGCGATGTTCGACTTGGATCTTCCATTTGAGCTTGTTCAAGTGCTTCTTGTACAATCTATAATTGTAAGAGGAAGATGAAACTTTAATTGATAAACAGAAAAAACAATAAGAATAAACTTACTTGTTCATTTTGTGAATCCATGGCACTGGTAGCTTCATCCAAAAGCAATACTTTAGGTCGACGCAGAAGTACTCGAGCAATTGCAATACGCTGCTTCTCACCACCTGACAGAAGACTACCTTTCAATCCTACTTTCGTTTCATAACCCTGGAAAAAATATAATACAATAGTAACAAATACATTATGTAATTTTGTATTGTTTAACCTGAGGCAATTGGTCAATAAATCGATGAATATTAGCTTTACTTGCTGCATCAATAATGTCTTCTATTGACACATTTTCTAAGCCATATGCTATGTTTTCAGCAACGGTTAAATCGAACAAAATTGGTTCTTGACTGACAAGACCAAAATGAGAACGAACCCCATGAATGTTTAATTGTCGAATATCAAGGCCATCAAGCAGCTATATTGATTGGACAAATTTTATATAATTATTTAAACTTTAAGGTAAAGATATACTAACTAGTCGACCACTAGTAACATCATAGAATCGTTCTAATAGTTGTATTATAGTTGATTTACCACATCCAGATGCACCTATACGAATTATATTATGTAACTCGTATCTGAAAGAGACATTTAACTGAAACATACCAACAAGAGCCACACGTTGACCTTATCAGTGAACAAAAAATATTAATAAAATGATTGAATCAAAGTTTATCTCGCTTACTTGGTTTGATATTCAATTGAAATTTGTTAAGAATAATAGATGTTGGTCGAATTGGATAGATGAATTTAACTTGATCAAATTGTATCTCACCACGAAAGTTAACCTATATGAATTATATGATATTTATGGCATGTGCATGATTACAACACAATAAGTTGTCTTTCATATTCTTTTACCAATTCATGTTCTTCATTAAACGTATTGTCCACAGCTGGTTTTCGATCAAATAAATCAAAAAATGCTTCAGCAGCTGATATTGATGCAGCAATACGCCAAGATCTAGAATGATCACTGTAGAAGGAAAAAAAAGTAAAGTTAGAGATTGAAAGTGTCACTTTAGTCCAACAAGTCTTAGTGCTTGAATCGATAAAGCAACAAGAGAACAGACTCTAAAATATTGCAAAGATATTGAAAACTTATCTCAGAATTATGAAAATGCGGTTTAGATGATTACATAATAACACTGTTCGACGTGAGTTCGTTCTTTTCGACCAAAGCGAGAGCACGCCAATACATAAATGCCAAAGTATATGTATCTAATATCCAGAATGTACCATATGCTATTGCAGATAGTATCAAAAATTTCCAAGACAATCTATGACAAAATAAGATTGATTAATAATTGTTGAATCTATAAGACTCGATTGACTAACATATGTACTTCATAAATAATTTCAGAATATTTTCGTAATACTTCTTTTTCTGCGGACAACTGTTTAATCGTGCGCATGTTGTGAATAACTTCAACAGCCAACTACCCAAATAAAAGAAAGAATAATTATGGTGTATTTGATTGAGGATTGGACAACAACTCGATCGGAGACCAAAATGATAATTTCAAGCGTAATAATGACATTCGAATCAGAAAGGACTGTTACCCCGACACGAGATATGTTTCTACGAAAGACTATCATCTTAATCAAAAAAACTATATAGTCATCTAGACAAATGTCAATTCGTCTAGGAAAAAGTATTTCACATAATAAAATTATGACTAGATGTACAAAAAAAATGGTCTAGAATATTCTCTTCTCTCATCCAAAAACTTTTTTCGATTTTCAACTTTTCATTTCTAAAGATATATTAAAGTGTACTGTATCAAGTGCTGTAAGAATCAGACCTACGTCAACTAGTATGGGTTCTGAAAAAAACTTAGTGTCGAGAACTCTTCTCTGGAGAAAGCTTATGTTTTCTAGGTAGCAATATTGTAAGTTTTTCTTATTCACTAATTTCATGAATACTTCTTAGAAACAACTCTTTATATTCATATTTGACGCGCGAGAAACGATAATCTTTAATAGTTTAAAATGACCAGAAGAAGAAAAAGATGTATGTGAAAAGAACGAAGTATTACTTTGTTTTGCGTTTTCCTCAAATATCTTTAAAAGAAAGAAAAGCACGCAGCTCGAGTTAACCCTGGTTGTCATGAAACAAGTTGCACCTCCAAAAAAAGTTGTAGCATAGTTTTTAGGAAGATACAACAATTATGGCAATTTTTTGCATTGGAAATCTCTATATATCCCTGAAGGAGGCATCGAGAAATTCTGAGTCTATGATAGGTTTTGTTCTACTTATCGAGAGCTATGTGCCTTCAAAGTCTCACTGTTTTCCGTCGAACCATTCTCAAGAACCCACGAAAAAGAGGAAAATTCTCTTAAGAACTCATGAGTCGGACGTTTTCGTTGTGTTTCAACATAGCTCGTTCTAATGAAAATCATTTTTCTTATGTGTCTCTACATACATGCATCTCGGTGTCTCGACAAAGTCCATAGCAGACGTTCTTTTTTGAGTGATCCTTTCTCTGCAGTTCTGAGAGACGTCATATGGATATATGAATATGGATAGACAAGGGACATCTTCCTTTACAGTCACGTATATTTCCGCTTGAAATGATCATATTTTCCACCAATCAGAATATTGTTCGCTGTTGGTTTGGTTTATCAAACAATTCATGATAAAAGAACTTTCCTACAAAAACGCAGGTTGTCAACTAAAACCTGATCTTACCGCGCTTGCTCGCCCGAGAATTTGACCAGATTGTATCTTTAGCGATGTACGTAAGTACACATTTCCATAGGTAACTATGAATATGATAACGATAGGTACAAAGGTGATCATTGTCAACTGCCAACTTATGAAACATCCAAATAGAAGCCCAAAAAACGACACTGCGAGAGCTTCATAAATGGCTCCCAATTGTATACCAGCCATCTCTTGAAAGGACAATGCATCAGAAGAAAGACGAGCACAAATCGCACCTGAACTGTTTTCAGGTCGATCAAAATAAGCAACTTCTTGACGAAGAAGACATGCAAAAGCTTTCGAACGAATGCGTTGCGTCAATTTCGATCCTGATATGACCAATGCTGTGTACTATAGAAAACAGTCAATTAGTCATTTATCAAGGTTGGAAGAAGTATTTTCACTTGAAAGAAACGCAGAATCAATAAAACAACACCTAGAAGTAAAAAAAGAAAGCTGATAGTCAACACATGGCGACGACGTTCAGAGGTTGAACAATATTTGAATGCCTACACATAATAAACAAAGTGACATGAACCAATGTATATTGACAATCTTTTTGATCGATATTTCCTTAGGTGGATTACTCACGTCAACCGCTTTAGTAAAAAAAAATGCAAACAATGATTGAGCTGCACCACTCAATACACATGCTATACAACCAACCAATACGGTAATCCATTCGGGACTATTCATTGATAAGAGTCTTAGTAAGACAAATGTCTCTTTGAATGACTTTGAACTTTGCTTTAAAAAAAAGCAGATTATCAATAATAGTTTTTATAAATAATTGCAGTAGTATTTATACTTTGTTCATATCAATCACTTGTCTATCACTAAATAAACGAGAGCGCTCAACTATAAAAGAAAAAAGACAGAAAAGTAAAGACTATTACTATTAGAATGTTAACATACTTATAGATTTTTCCTCTTCTTCTGTTGCTTTTTGTATGCTCATTATATCATCTGTGTCATGATAGATTCTTTCTATTTGTTGACGTTTGACCATTGCTTGATATTTGCCTCCTTCTTTTGTCATTAATGTTTCAGGTGTACCTTGCTCAATCACACTTCCATTATTTAATACATATATTTGATGCGCATTTCGAATTGAAGTTAAACGATGAGCAATAACAATAGTTGTACGACCTGCACAATATGACATATCAATACGAAATACAGAACAAACCACTATTAATACCTTTGCATGCTCGATCAAGTGCTTCTTGAACAATTTTTTCACTGACATTATCAAGCGCACTTGTTGTTTCATCCAGTAAAAGGAAAGTGGGCTGTTTAACAAGAGCACGAGCTAATGCAATACATTGTTTTTCACCCCCACTCAAGTGTATACCACGTTCACCAACAAGTGTTTCATATTTCTAAACAAGAAATAATGATATATTTACATGCATAAAGATAAACATTTAATACAAACATTTGCTAATTTCATGATGAAATTATGTGCATTTGCTTCTCGCGCTGCTTGTTCAATTTCTGCTCGTGTTGCATTTATTTTACCAAAACGAATATTTTCATAAATACTCATACCAAACAGAATCTATTACACTAGAGAATGAAAAAAGAAAAAAACGAAAACAAAGCATACGGGTTCTTGACTAACAACTCCAATGTTTTGTCGAAGTTGTTTGACATTGTATGCTGTTATCGGTCGACCATGAATCATTATTTGTCCCGATGAAGGTTCGTAATAACGAAGAAATAGTGATATGCATGTACTTTTGCCTATGAATGCATTAAGAAAACAAATAAGATCATTTCGACATTTTTGTTTTTGAAAAGACTTGCCACAGCCACTTGAACCAATGAGAGCAGTTGTTTGACCCGCTCGAGCAACAAAAGAGAGATTGCGTAGAGCTGGTACATCTTTTCGAGATGGATAACTAAAGTTGACATTGTCAAATTCAATATCACCATTGATATCAAAATTTTCTTCTTCATTCTCCTTCCAGACATCTGTTTCATTGATACTTGCATCATTTCCCTACATCATAAAAACAAATACAAAACATTGCTATCAATATAAGACCTCAATTTACTTGGAATTACCTCGTCAATGAGTCGAAACACCGCTGCTGCTGCACCTCGAGCTTCCGAAAGTGATTGAAAGTCAGGACCAATATAACTGAAGAAATTCAAACATTGTGCAAAGATAGAGGTGACCTGAATTGCGATAGCAATAGTAGTCATATATTCATTTCCTTATTGACTAATTCTATGAATAACTCACGACAAGAATATCACTAATATTCGAATTGTGTTGATCCTCGCTTGGTTTAAGAAGAGAACCAAAGATAAAACCAATTGAATAAACTAAGTAGTTTATCAGAGATAGCCATCCAGAATATATACCAAACACTGCACCTTGACGTACACTACTCCAATGACTTGAATATAATTCTTTTTCATATCTTAATGCAATAAAAAAAACAACATATTTTATGATACGAAATAAGTAAACTATTGCTATGTATTTATTTACCGCTTTTGCTCAAAGTTGGTACCATTGAGAGAAAGAACCGTTCGGAGTGAACTAAACACTTCTTGAACAATTTGTCCTGCTTTCGAGTATGTCATTAACGCATTCATTGTTTCATTAGCAATCAGCTATGATAATTTATATAGATTTAATTGATTGAACAACAGTACATACCTTAGAAAACACAAATGAACTACAAAAGACTAAAGGTACCAAACATAGCATGATCAAAGTCAGTTGCCAGTGGACAATGAAAGACGCTATTAAACAACCAATCATGGTGAGCAACCTAGTCAACAATATCAAGAACTCAAAACCAATGCCTCTCTCGATCTTTCCAATGTTACTATACAAGAGTTAAATTAACTGTAGTTATTGGATAGCAAATATATCGTAATAGCTTACTCAAATAGTTTAGCATTAAGTTGGCCAGTTGGCTTGGTATCTACATAAGTAATGCTCTAAAATCAGAGAATGAGAAATAGTCAGAGATAAATAAATTCAATTGCATCTATGTTTTCCAAATTTCAATTAAACTGAAACTCTATATTTCTCAAAAATCTTACTTAACTCTGACAGTAAAAAAATCATGCTTCATGCGATCTGATTTTGATAGCTACAACAAGTCTCAATAAGAACTGAAATCTTGTTAGAGATTCCACTAGAATACTATCTATTATTATAGACAAACAATCACTGAAACTGGAAAGCGACATCAATGTAGGTTTTATTGTTAGACAATCCAATGCCACTACAGCTTCGATGTATAAAAGTGCCTACTCCGCGTTGAAGCAGTGCATCTATGGATACAATAAAGTCCTTTCTATGCATAGTCATCTAGGAAATAAAGAATACAATTGGTATAACAACATGAGTTCATTAGTGTTTCTAAAAATATCATTTTAAAATTACACTACCTAAACTTCAGTTTTTTTCAGGATTTCCAGTCATATTATTTCTAAAAGTGTAGTAGTAATGAACACTTCAGTCTACATCATTGTAAATATGTTATATGCTGAAGTTGAAAATATCTTGAAAGGCAATAACTAATAGAAATTGCGCTATAGAACTTCATAACGATTATATGTGTATGAGCTTAGAAGAAAACATGTGATATATCAGTGATGGCGAGGTTAAGAATATATTTCTACTGTTGTCTTGAATCTCTACTTCCAGACCTAGAACTTCTAGCAACATAGGCATCTTGGAATATTTATTACTTTTATCTAGACACTATAGATTATTTCATGGATTTAGTAGAAATGCTTATTTATTGATGGTGAGGATTTTTTGGATAAAGAATGAATATCAGATGCTCTAAGTTTATAGTAATGCTAAGAAAAGGCTGGTATTAAACTTTGAGTAATGTTTCTTTTGTAAGTGGAAGTATATTTGACTCACCCGTTGAACAAGGGATCGAAACAGAGAAGCACTCATACGAAATATCTGTCGTTTAACACTAATTGTCCAAATGAAATTTTCAGTCGAGCCAGCCAAAAATTCGACAGCACCAATAACTACATTAAGCGAGAAATAAAGACAATTTTCATTATATGGTACGATCAAATTATAATGTTCACTTCACTCACTGAATAACCAGTAAACTATGCTCATAACTTTTTCTTCGAATAAAGAAATTGGTGTGTCTAAGGTTGATGACAATATTTCAGCATTATTATAGAGTAGTCTAAAATTAAAAAAACGAAACCACAAGAACATAGAAGCATTACATAGTAACTAATAATCGTTTTTAGTGAGTTACTTATGCGACGAAACCGTGCTGAATGTATTAAGTTTGTTGCCTTGATGATATGTATTGTTGTTGTTAATTGGAACAATTGAATTTTGGTGTTGAGCATCACAAATATCACCAAATGATTTAATAGCAAATAATCCTATCAGCCGACCAAGTAGAACTTTCTTAGCAAGACTGCAACTGGCATGTAATAGTATCAAACACGAAGTAATGAACATTAGAACTAAATCGATACGATTTGCAAACCGAAACTACAATATCATCAAATGAATCGATCAGTATGAGTTTTTTGTAAATATACTTACTAATTGCAGAACACCAACTGCTTCATCTCTGTCACTAGGTTTAGTATCATCACCATCATCTAATTTTACGTATTTATTATTGCTCTGTTTTCTGATGAAATATCGACGCCAATCAGAAAAACTAAGAACAATGTTGAGTTCATTCTATTTGTTTCAAAGTCAAGTATTTTATAAATTCATACCTATTGATCAAAAGTTGCTTTTTGTTTCTACTATTATCACCATTATCGTCACCATTAGACAATTTGCTTTGTGCGTTTAGCAAGGGTTGTCGATCAACCATTTTTTCTCAATAGAATTGTGTCGACGTGAAAATGGAATCGTAAATGAATGAAAAGATTGAATCTACAATGGTAATTACGAAAAAAAGAAAAGCTAATTTATATTCAAATAAAAACGAAAGATGACAGTCTTTTATTATTATTGAAAACAAAGCAAAAAGATTTCTTGTTTTCTATGTTGTCTCTCAGTTTCCTTTTTTAAGTTTTTGTGTTTTACTAATACGTTTTCAAATTTAAATAAGTTAAGCTAATTTTAAAAGAGAATAGGAAAGAAAAACAGTGAAAGTATTCCATTTGAAGTGAAACAAGAAAAATGAACTTTGTTTTTTGGAAAGAAGAACGATAGTAAATAGCTTTTTACAGAGAAGAAACAATGCTGGGAAATTGATGAAATTTGAACGAGAGCAATTTTTTGAGAGAATTACGCATATTTTTTTGTTTTTATTTAGGGTAAGATAAAATGTTATACGATACGTGCAAATGGTCGAAGCGAAGCGTGTCGATTATTCTTCAGGTTTTATGACTAGCTACTCAATTTGTTACACCTGTAATCCATTTTTGTTCTTTTATTTATTCTTGTCCAATAATGGATTTTTCTTTTCTTCTTAAGAACTACTAATCTCATTGATGGGAGAAAGAGGTCGTTATCTATATCTACTATCTCATTCTAAATATATTCTAATTAAAAATACAATTTCAATGGTGTGGGTGTCGCAAAAGCATTCCACTCAAGGATAAAACAATTTCTATCACATAATAAATAACAAAAATTGGTATAACAATACAAATGTAAATGTTAATATAAAAAACTCGTTTAGAGAAACGAAAAACGCTCTACCATAAACGTTGTTCATGATCCTTGTTGATAACGATGAATCTAAAACGGAAAAAAGGAAAAGGGAGCATTTGTTATCTTAATCTTTCCTCATTGTAACTCTGATACTAAGGCTTCTATCGCTGTTTTGGATGGTTTCTTATGGACTAGGATACTTCTCAAATTATCTGTCAACCTATGAGTAAAAATAAATAGCACATTGCTAAGCAGTGTTTCCTCAATAATTTTCTGTCCAACTTGATGAAATCTTGACCGGAAACGTTTTAAGTTAAGTGTGTAGGTAAAGTGGACCAAAATGTCTTTATTGAATTTCATCCCGAATTTCTCTTTTAATATTTCATTCTATACCCAAGACCTCATCTCTAAATTCACCATGCTCTTCACTTAAAAGTAATTTTAGTGTACTTGTAAAAGATGCAAACACCCTCAAAGGAGGAACTGATAGCGTCAATAGATTGAGCTTGGTGAGTAGATTCTACAAACATCCAAGATGGTTGAATATGAGAATGATTTTCTGATACACACTGTTGTTTCTGACCTACGAACACTCATATCTTTCGACAGTAAGAAGCCATACTTGAGTTAGGTAAATACCCAAAATATTTGACTTTTATATGTATGCCTAAGAAAAATATTAGAGATATACTTTTAAAATTTTAAGGCTTATAATTGAATTTTGCATATTACTGATTCTATGTAGGGCACGATTGGATCTGCTTAATTTGAAACATTATTATCTAGGAAAGATTTTGTATGAATTTTGACACAAGTCCATTTGAAAAATATTGAATTGTCGAGTTTCCGTGGATTTTTTTCGAAAAATCCTAAAAATCTACATTTCGATCAACGGAGGCATATCCTCGGTATTTTTATTAGGCTTGCGTATAATGGTCTAGAGTTTGGAGTATGTACCTAAGTCGAGTATGACTACTCATTGTCAAAAGCTATAGGCGTCCATGGGCAAAGGTTATATTATTGTTTATGGTGTTTCGACTTCAATGGGCAACATTTGAATGTATTTATGAAAAACTTTATTTTTATTGTGCAGTTAGAATAATTTACAGTATTACATATATTATTCTTTAAGAAATATATAAAAAATTCATGTTTGCTGTCTAGAAAAATGAAGCCAGAAAATATTGAAGTTCAAATATGAAATGATGTAGCATATGAAAACATAAACCGTTTTTATAAATAATATTGCTCACGATGAAAATAAAATAAGTCATTTATAAAAACAACTTATATTATAATGAATAATTCAAGGATAATTACAATGTTTGTATTTCTTCCAAGTCCAATAGAAATTTCTTATTACCCTGATGGACAAAAATTTTCGAAAACGTGTTTAATCGTCTTAATCATGGTCTCCGTTTCCAGTGCTTTCACATATATTCAGTAACACACAAAAGTCAATTAATTTCATCATTGGAGGTGCGTGAAGACGCTTATAAATGTGACTTTCTGCCTGAAGAACGTTCAAAAAATGTTTGTAGAATAGTTTTAACACACATCTAGAGTCTGTCAGTGCCAA